GGTTTTTTGACCAACCATTATTACTCAAGTTTAGTCCCTCTTTGCATTTATTACTTCCTGCAGAGTCCTTTTCTGTATTCTGAAAAATTCCTTGCATGGATCACAATGATGGATCTTCTATGCTGTTAAGCTTGCTGTATTTTGCAGCAGCCACTATAACTAACTCATATACAAAATTCCCTTTTTGCAGCTATTGGGTGAGTGGAGCTAATGCAGGAAAAAAAGAAGTATTTGTGGACAACCTACCTGGGTATCCAGACAACATCAGATTATCAAACACAGGCTTATACAGAGTTGGAATATCTACTACTCGCTTTCCTAGTTTCTTTCCTCCTTTTCTGGACGCTTTAGGACCATATCCATTCCTGAAGAGATTTATTGCAAAGGTAACTTTAATACTACACAGTGTCAACTATCGGTGTCACAAAAATGTTAATTTTTTAAGTATGAAAGAACTTCTTGTTCTGCATTAGGAAATGCAAGAGACAACTGATTCATCTTTAGCAGCCAGCATCCCAACACATACTAACTTTGATTTTTCTGGAACATGTGAGGATTAGTTTCTTTTGTTACATATTAAAACACAGCAGTTTTTACTGTTGTGCTAATACCAAGAACCCATTTATAAAGTAGAAAAATCAGTATTGACAAAAGTAGTCCATAGTTGCCAGCTCTCAGCCTGTTCTTTATAGCAACATGATACTGTCACAACAACTTTACACAACATAGGAGGATTTTGCTATAGAAATCAAACTCTGCAAACACATTCTTGCCAAGCAAGAGTCATGGAGCTGGTTACGATTTACTGTGCTACTTTTTCTAGGAACCATGCTGCCTTTTCCCTAGAACTTGCACAGGAAAAACACTGAGATGGGTGATTCAGTTGCATTCCATTAAGTCCCTCTTATTCCTGTTTTTAGAAAATGGGTGGCTTCTGGCAGCTGGAATAAGTTCAAACAACATCCACACCTTCTTGAGCAAGCAGGCACTGACTGTACTTTAGGATTAGTGAGCAATTACTGGACTGCCAGCTTTAGACACAGTCCAGTGGATATTATCAAAAGATTAAGTGACAGCTGAATCCAACTACAGCAACACCCGGAAAGCAATATATTAGCACTGCCATCTCTTTCTAGTCATACAGGTTCCCCCCCCTGCTCCTTGAATGAAGTGTTAACACTGTGTATTTCTTTTTCTAAAACAGGTGACTCCTTTCTCATTCTACAGCATTTTTCTTCACAAACATGGCTTGTTCTTAGAAATTAACGACAAAGGAGACATTGTGGCAAGCTTCCATGACCCTGATGGTAGTGTCACTTGGGCTGTCAGTGATGTCTTTGAGCACGATGGGAAGGTGTATCTAGGTAATACAGAGCTGCCTTTTCTTGTGGTGCTGCAGTAAACATAACAGTTTTCATAAGCTGGAGCATCAAAAGAAAAACAGCAGCATTGTTTCAAGCAGCTGTTAAATGTTTTTCTCTGCTTAATGGAAGACTACTACATCACTGAAGGAGAAACTGATACCACATGGTTAAACAAAAATGAAAATACAATGCAGAAATGCTTGTTTTAGAAGCTTGTGAAAGCCTCAGATAGGTTAAAGGGTACCAAATGACCTTGCTCTGCAGTTCAGAAAATAGTTATGTATATATTTTTAAACAGTTGCACAGAATAATCCAAGGAGTTCAACTCTGTAACAGGGATTGAGGTGAGCGAGTAGCACATATCTTTCTTACTGTTGCTCACAGTTCCCATTTTGGAAAAAGCCTTATGTAGGATTTTATTCTTCCTCCTTCCCAAAGGCAGAACATACTGCTTTTAATTATGAACAGCAGTTTCTCCATTGTCTCTTGTTAAAGTTTTCCATCTATTCAACTACATCAGTTTCCAAGGAAATATGAGCAAGAGTAGCTCACATTTAAATGTGTTCTCTCACCTCAGTGTTTCTTCCTGGTGCAAAGTAGTTGCGTGTTGTCTTGCTAGATGCTGTATGTAAGGTTCTCTGTGACCACAGAAAAGTTCACTAGCAGCCATTGTTAGGCAGCAGGGCAGTAAGCAGAAAACAGGTTTATAAACTAGGAATTCAATCTTTAGAAATGTGACACAGCTTGATCCTTTGGAAAGGTTTAACTGAAGTTCAGTAACAGAAAGATAGGAAGTTTGATAGGCAGTTTATTTTTTCTTTCCCAAAAGTGCAGCAGTGAACAGGGTCCTCTGGAAGGGCACTTTCTAAACAAACGTTCAAAACAGCAGAAGTTAAGTATGCTCACAACATGCTACAGCAAAGTATGCTCACATACAGAGAGAGAGAAAAATACAAATAAAATTCATTTTCATTGAATCACAATAAATGACAGCTGTTTCATTATGATGAAATATTGTATTTAGCTTGTAGAATCAGTCCTAGATTTAACTTGATTGAAAAGGTATTATACCTGCTTTGGGTGTGTGTTTGCATTTATGTGTCCCTGTCACAGCTTTATTCCTCAAAATGAAGAAGCCCAATTTAGTGGGCCTGTGCTGGGTAAGCATGTACTAGCTGTATTCACTTATGCTGAAGTGATGCTACTGCACGGCTTTTGGTTTAGGATAATGTAATAAAGTTATTAACTGTATTTCTCCCTGTATAGTTTCTACTTTACCAGATCAGATCATTAAAATTCACAGCTCTGCTTTTGATAATAATGATTTTAAAAATAAAACAAAATAAAAAAATCACATTTTACCTAAACACACCTCTGTCCCAGTAAGGCCCTTTCATTTAGCCTTTAGTAACAAGGTACAGATACAGCCATGGTGAAATAGCATATGAAATGGAATATCCAGGAAGACCATTTAGTTTTAAAATCACATAGCTGGGAATTAGATCTAGATAAGAGTCAAAGTTCCTTCATAGTATTCTTTCAATCATCAAGAATTAACACTGTGCATTCAAGGCTGTAAAAATACTCAGAATTAACTTCTTCATGGAAACAGACACCAGGCAAGTGACAACAAACTGCTCTAAAAGCAATGGAAGGCAGGCAGCTCTTGGTTCCTGTTCTTCCTACAACTACAGGCTTTTGCTGAACAGTTCTTAAAGATTTATCAAAAAGTGGGGGTGAAGCAGGTATTTTTCTGAAC